TTCCGCGTCATCGCCGCCGGGCTCGACCCGCGCGACACGAAGGCCTTGCCCGCCGCCGCGGTGCTTGCCTCACCGGACCCTTCCCCTCGGAAGCTTCTCGGACCCTTCCCCGCAGGTCGGCGCCGTCATGACGCCGGACCCGCACACCCTCCCTGTCTCGGCCTCGGTGCTCGACGCGCTCTCGCAGCTGGAGGGCTCCGGCTATCGCAACGTGCCCGTCGTGCGGCAGTCGGGCGAGAGATCGCCGAGAGATCGCCGAGAGATCGCCGAGAGATCGCCGAGAGATCGCCGAGAGATCGCCGAGAGATCGCCGAGAGATCGCCGAGAGATCGCCGAGAGATCGCCGAGAGATCGCCGAGGGATCGCCGAGGACGCCTTCCTCGAGCCCCTCAGCGTGCTCCTCGAGACTGCCCGAGATTGCCCGAGATTGCCCGAGATTGCGCGAGACGTAGGCGAGCCCGTCGGCGTGCTCGACATCCTCGCCCTCATCCGAGGGGCGCTGCACCAGATGCCCGGCACCGGAAGCGACGCGTCGGAGACTGGGTCGGTGATCAACGGCAGCGGCCGCGCCTCGCTGACCAACGGCGCAGTCTCGGCCGCCGCCGACGAGCCCGATGCCGTCGTGATGGCGCCGGGCCAGCCCCGGGGCTCTGCGGAGGAGGAGCGGGCGCAAGCGGGCGCAAACGGCCGCGCGCTCTCCCCGCGCGCTCTCACGCCCTCGAGAGACGGCCCCGTGTAGGAGGGCCCTCTCAGCGCGGAGACGCTGCGGTGCGAGCTCCGCGCAGCTCTCGCGCAGGCGGCGACTGCTCACGAGCGGGAGGCGCGCGCCCTCTCCGAGAATCGACCGGGTGCGAGGAGACGTCCGCCGCCGTCCCTCTCACGCCGGGCGTGCGCCGCGAGCAGGTGAGCAGCCTCGCCGACGAGATGCGGCTGCTCCGGGCGCAGCACCGCCGCACATCGCACGCCGTGCTGGCGTGCAGCGTCGCGAGCGTGGCGATCACAAGCGCTCTCGTTTTCGCCTCCACGCGCCCGCGCCGCTGAGGTCGGGCACGGGCGGGCTGCGCGCTGTGGGAATGCCGCCTAATGCTGACGGCCCCTCGGCGAGGGTAGAGCCGTACGATGTCCGTGTGGCGCCGAGGGCGAAGGGTCGTATCTGGTGCACCGCCGTCTCGCCAGCGCATGACGGTGCAGCGCGAGTGCAGGCTCCTCCTGCACGCACCCGATGACTCAAGCTCTGTCTCACACCACTCTATGCCAGAATGCAATCAGCTAGGGGGGAAACTGGTGTTTTCAAAGCTTTCACCACTTTTCTTCATATCTGGGGCCTCCGGCGCCAGTGCGAAGTCTAGTCGCCCTAAACCACCCCGCCCTCCGGGCATACTCCGAACTCCCACACGACAACACACGCGCGGCCGGCGCCTCTCATGCCCTTCTCCACGCACACCGCGTGAAAACTGCGCGTACGTCCCCGCGCGCACGCAAACACACGAGCAGCGCCCAGAAGCCTGTGCCATGTGCGTCTGCCCTGTGCTGGCGCCCCATGACCGTCCCGCGCCGCCCGCACCAGCTGCGCGCCCCTCGCACTACCAGAGCAAGCCGCATATCCACTCACGCCGCGACGCGCGCGCCGCAGCACACCTCACCAGCACACCTGCGCCTTTTTGCGCCCTGTGCAGGCTCTGCAGACTGCTTCTGGCATCCCACAAGCGGCTGTACTAGGACGCGCCGCGAGTGCGACGGCACCGCGCAGGCCCAGGCGCGCACGCACGCCCGCACGCGCGCTCGCTCATCCGCCCAGTCTGCTGTGCACAGCCTGTCAGCCTGCCTGCACACACAGCATACAGCACCATGTGCACGCATACGCTTAGACGCAGCCCGCACCCCACAACAATAGCCTGCCTCACGCCTCACCACGCCGTCTCGCGCACACCGCCAGCAGCCCGATCAGAGAAACTGCAGCGCGCGCCTCTGCACGCCTGCAGCTTCTCTGCATTCTGAGACCTTCTCAATCCACCCCGCCGCCGCGCCTCCCCGGGCACACACCGCAGCAGTGAAGATGTGAGTCGAAGTATGGGATATCGACCGAGCCCGCGCCTGCCGCACACGTTTCCGTTTCTTTTTACTGCCATAAGCATAAAAAAACACCATGGCGAAAATCGCGTTTAACAAACAGCGACGACCAGCAGCAACGATTTACAGCAGCGTCCTGCCGAGTGTGTGTAGCACCGACGCAGACGCACCCCAGGCACTACACTACGACGGCTAGGCAGACCTCACCAGTCCGATAAGGATCAACTGGAAGGTTGAACCTCGAGCTTAGACAGAACGGGCGCGACAGACTCCAGGGGAGATCGCGCTCTACTCGGGGCACCAAGGAGGAAAACCGAAACCGTTTGGGTGCCCCACAAAAACCCAAACGCTACAACCTAAAAGTCACACCTCCCCCCCACGTCCCCCCCCCCTTGGGGACGTAGCGCACGCCCTTACTCGGAGAGAGTGGGGGGGGAGGGGGGGTGGGGGAATAGGAGGAGCCGTCGAGCTCGGAGTAAGGTCCACAGTAGAGAGACAGGCATTTAAGGCGTAACTTCACCCTCGCTCACCTTGAGTATATCTAGGCGCCCTGGTGCAGTCGGTCTTCGGATCAGCGGCCAGCTTCCCATCTAGGGCAGGGAACCCCCAGCGACGCTAGTGTGGCCTACGGTAGCCTCAGCTTGTACGCGATCCCGGGGCAGGGGGGTGTGGACTCTAGAGCTCCAAGAAAGGATAGGGAGAGGAAGGGAGATTGGTGTGCCGGTTTTTCGCGTTAGCAATTTTTTTTTCAAAGCTTTCACTTCCGTACGGCTCTTTTTGGTCTTTACCCTTCACGGCTCTTCCCTCGCTTCGCGCCTTCCGTCACGGCGGACGGCGCGTGGTATCATCATCAAAAATCAGCCCCGCGCGCGACCGCTAAACCGGTGTAACACCGCATTTAGGTATACGCACACACACCACACACACGTCAGAGGTCACACACCGCGCGTCGGCGTGGCGCGTGCACGGTGCAGGCCCGCGGCCGCGCACGGCACAGCCACAGGGCTGACACTCCTGACACCTCTATCTCCGCGAGAGAGACAGAGGGCCCGAGGCCGTCTCTCATCTGCACACTCCGGGCTCCGGCGGCACGCAATATTGCGACATGCGAGAGATCTCTCGAGCTCAACTGAGGGAAACTCTGAAAGTCTACACACTTGTGTCTTGTCCGGTGCTGCGGAGAGAATACACTCTGCACTCACCAGCTGAGGCGAACACCGTTGAATAAATAGAGAGCCGCATAGCAAGAACACCGTTGAATAAATTATAGAGAGCCGCATGGCAATAGACAGATTGGAGCCCATCGTACACGCGCTTCGCAACAAGCGACAACGCGGCCGCCGTCCACGCCACGCCCGTCTCAGGAGGGCGTGGGTTGGAAGCGAGAGCTGGCGATGACGAGTTTGGCGACGCCCTTGAGCAGGCCCTTGACCTGCCTGCGCGACTTGCTCATCGCGCCGATGCTCTTTGCGAGCACCTTGTCGGCGCCGGCGGGGAAGAAGAAGGCGAGGTGGCGGAGGAGCCTCGTCTTGACGGCGCCGACCCGAGTGCCGTCGATGGAATAGTAGACATCCCGGCACCCCGCCGCGTGAGCGCGAGCCATGATCGAGGCGCAGCGGTCGGCGCTCATGCTCTTGTCGAGCTCGAGGTCCACCGCGCCGCTGCCGCCGTCCACGCCGCCCCGCAGGCGCGCGCGGTTGATGTTTGTCTTGACCGCGCCGGGATAGGCGAGCGTGATCGTGGGCGGCACCTGCTCACTCATCCCGAGCTCGACACGCAGCGCATTGAAGAAGCCCTTGAGCGCAAACTTGGAGGCGGCGTAGCCGGTCCGGGTGGGCGGCGCCACGAGGCCCACCACGCTGCTCACCACCAGCAGCCGGACTCCGCCCTCCGCTTGCCGCATGGCACCGAGGCAGGCGTCGAGCACGCCGACCGCGCCCATGTAGTTGACGTCCATCAGGTGCTTCATGATGCCCATCGCCTCCTTGCGCTCGCTCAGCGAGGCAAACGGCGAGCCCATGGAGAGCCCGGCGTTGAGCACGAGCAAGTCGACGGTGTCGTCTCCAATGGCGCTGCGGATCGCATCCCAGCCGCTCTCGCTTGAGACGTCGGCCACCACCGCTTTAGCGCTGCTCGCGCCCGCCGCCATGCACTCCTCGCAGGCCGCCTCGAGCGCCTCACGCCTCCGAGCCACAAGGTAGAGCTTGGCTCCCTGCGCGGCGTAGGTTCTAGCGAGAGACGAGCCGATGCCAGAGGAGGCGCCAGTGAGCACGATAGTCTTCTCGCGAGGACTCCACCGTTGGCGAGCGGTGAGCTTCTTCGTCAGTGCGAGCACGGTGGCGAGCACAGCGAATACGGTGGCGAGGACGCACGCGAGGGGCAGCATTCTGAGCTGGTTGCTTCTTAGAAGGAGCCGATAGCGCGCTCAAGGAGGCCAGGCGGGTCCTTCCGGCCGGAAGAATTTACGGGCCCAAAAGTCCTTTCTTCCCATTCCTCGTTTGGCGTGTCTGTTTTCTTTCTTTCTTTCTTTGTGGTTTCGTGCCGTCCTCCCATCCCTCCCTTGGGTTATCTGTTTTCTTTCTTTCTTTTCCCATCCCTCCCTTGGGTTATCTGTTTTCTTTCTTTCTTTCTATATCCCTCGCGCGACACTATAGGCACAAGACTGGCGCGCACTGGGACTACAGTCTGTTGCGGGCATTAATTTTGTTTGTTGAAAACAGGGCATTAATTAAGAAACCCTACCAAGCGATTTCCAAAGCGCCGCAGGCGCGGCCCCAACCAAGAAAGGGCCCACACACGAGTGTGAAACAGGAGCCCCGCTCAAATTTTTTCTTCGCCTGCGGCGCGCGCGCGCGCACTTGTCATTTTGCCCAAGTCTGCGGTGTTCTGGGCGGTGTGGATGGAGGTGTGTGCGTCTTCCTGTCATCCCAAGTGGGTGGCAGACTGCGGACTTGCGACATCGGTCCAGCGCTTCCTTATTGTCATTTTACCTAAACGTTCCTACAGACTGTAGATCCCGGCTGACCTGGGGTGCCGGCCGTGCGGCCGAAGCTAAGAATTTTACAACAAAACTCCCTCGCACGAACACCGAAGCTATGAAACCACGGCGTGGGGTGGGTGGGGTGGGTGGAAAGGCTTAGAAACGGCGGCGTGCCGCGGGTCCTGTTTTCTTAATGCCCGCAACAGATTGTAACACAGGTACACAACGCGGAAGAATTAGTGCGAGCGAGAGCGAGAGAGACAAAGCTTCCCCGGAGCAGCTTCCCCGGAGCAGCGCGCAGCAGACCCAAGCCAAGACGAATGCGTCGCTCCGCCGGGAGCATCGACAAAAAGCTGACAACATACACATACATACATTCATTCATGACGCTCAATAGGCGCTTTGATCCCAATCACGACACATGTGTGACTCGCCTAGTGTGGAGACGCCGTGTACCGTGGGGCCTTGTTGACCTAAGCACGGGAGCTGACACGGGAGTACCTAGGGGAGTACCCGTGTGGACCGGAGGTAACAGGCTAACAGCAGCAGAGCGAGCGAGAGAGCGAGAGAGAGAGAGAGAGAGAGAGAGAGAGAGAGAGAGAGAGAGAGAGAGAGAGAGAGAGAGAGAGGGAGATAGAGAGAGGGAGTGGGAGAGAGAGACACACTCACAGGGGAGAGAGGGAGAGAGAGAGGAGAGAGAGAGAGAGAGAGAGAGAGAGAGCGTGATCGACGTGACGTCCAGCAACGCCAGCGCGGCGATGGACCAGGCCAAAGAGGACGGCGCCACTCCGCTGTTTGTCACGTGCTACAAGGGCCACCTCGAGATCGCCCGGCTGCTCCTCGAGGCCGGCGCTGCGCCCGACCAAGCCCGCAACGACGGCGTCACGCCGCTGTTCGCCGCGTGCCACAATGGCCACCTCGAGGTCGCCAAGCTCCTCTCCTCCTACGGCGCCTCCCGCGCCGCAGTGCCGCCCTTTGGCACGCCCGAGGAGGCTGCAACCCGCCGCGGCCACGCCGACCTCGCCGCCTGGCTGGTCGCCAGCCGCGGCTGGACGCCGCTCGCGCACCTTGAGACCCTCACCGCCGCCCGCGCCACCTCCCTCATGCGCCGCAGCGGCGCAAGCTTGCACGAGGGCGAGCCGACGCCGCTGCGGCGCGCCGCGGGCGGCGAGGGCGAGGCGGCGGCGCTGATCCGGCGGGCGGCGGCGCCGTGGTCGCCGGCAAGCCACTCCCTCTTCCCCGCGGCGGCGCGCGCGCGGGCGGCGCTCCTCGTCCTCTCGCTCTACGAGATCCACGAGCGGTACCACCTCGACTCGGCCGGACCCACGAACGGCATCGCGGCGATCGACTTTGGCCACTGCGTCTTGGGCTTCGCGATCACGTGCGAGACGGAGTAGAGTAGGGACGGGAGGGGCTCGGTGTTGTAGAGTCGAAACACATCGTTAATACCTGTCTGTGGACGCGGTGTGTGTACACGTGGTCCGCGGAGAGCGGAGGGGGGCGATGGGGGAAGGTGTGTTGGGTGTTCCGAGTTCCCCGAGGATGGACCATGATCCATGTGGAGGACTCGGAGATCGAGAATGGACTGGAGTGTGGACTGGAGAGTCTGGAGGACAGAGTGCGTCACGCCAAAAAACTCTGAGGAGGTGGAGCCCCCCCGCCGCGATGGAAACATCATGTGACAGACAATCAACAGAGAAACGAGGGAGAGGCAAAAACATGCAAATAAATAAGTGCACGCACCTTTGGGCCCGGTGTGCCAGTCGCTCGGCCACACTGCACATACACAGCTCTCTTCTCACCTGGACAGCTGCAGGCCGTCCAGGTGCGACACGCAGAAGCGGACCGCGCGGCCCGCACGCCGCAGCTTGCGGAGCGAGGGGCTCGCGGAGGGCAGCATGTCCTCCTCCTCGGACGACGACACGCTGGGCGTCCTCTCGGTGATGCGAGGGCTCGACGCGTCCTCCTCCTCGGACGACGACGGCGCGCGGAACGCCTTTTTGGTGCCGGCCGGCGCGGGCGGCTTGACCTGGCCGGACGGCGCGAGCCAGTACTCGACAAAGGGCGGCATCAGGTTGTAGTGCGGCATCTGCGGCGCCCACAGGGAGGCGAGGTACCACCAGGGCAGGGTGACGACGCCCGCGTTCCGCCCGATGGACGCAACCATGTGCCGCACGGCCTGGTCGGTCGGCATCGTCATCGACTCGAGGAAGCGCTTGGCAAAGCCGGGGCAGTTGGTCGACGGCAGCCAGCCCGACTTGCGCGCGTCCTTGCCGCCCACCATCTCCGAGTCCACAAACCCGGGGCAGATGGTCGTCACGCCCACGCCCGTCCCCTTGAGCGCGCCGCGCAGCCCCTGCCCATAGGCGCGGCCCCACACCTTGCTCGCCGCGTACGAGACGCTTGACGGGTTGGTGCTCGAGCCCGCGGACGCCACGGACGCCATGATGACGATCTGGCCGTGCCCGCGCGCCACCATCCGCTCCATCGCCGGGCTGACTGTGTTGACGGTGCCCATCACGTTGGTCGAGTTGACCACGCCCGCCTTGTGCCAGAGCGGCGAGCCGCCGGGCACGTTCGACTCGGAGCAGCCTGCGTTTGCGACCACGAGGTCGAGCGGCGCGTCCTCGTCCGCGGCGGCCACGACGGACGCCATCATGTCTGCGTCCGTCACATCCGCCGGCACGGCGGTGACCACGGCGCCGAGCGCCTCGCACTGCGCCTTGACGGCGTCCAGCTTTGTTACCCGCCGTGCGGTGAGCACGAGGCGGACGCCGGGCTTTGCATACTGACGAGCGAGCTCGGCGCCGATGCCGCTGCTGGCGCCCGTGATCAGCACCGAGGTTGGCCGCAGCGTGTTTGCCGGCCGCGAGCCGGCGGACCTGACGAGGGCGGAGACCATCTGAAACGGCCCGACGATGGCGAGGACCACGCCCGCGAGCGCCGCCCAGGCCGACTTCATGTGCAGCAGAAGAATGGAGCCGTAGAACTCCTCATTTGTCACCTCGTCCGTCTGCGTCGGGTGAAGGAGCTTCAAGGCGCCGGCCATCAGGGCGCTGGAGGAGAGCAGCACGAGAAAGGCCGGAAGCATGACCGGAATGAGGGTGAGCTGTACGAGGAGCATGGCCAGCACGAGCGGGAGGGCGAAAAGCTTGGCGACGGTTGTCATGTGCGAGCTGGATACACGCGTCTGGGGCGTTGTCGCGGGTCGAGAGATGTCCTCCGGTCGGTGCCAAGGTCGTAGGACTTTGCCTTCAAGTCGGAGGAGGCTCGGGTTTTTGTATTTTTTTCTTTTTTCAACCCGCTCTTCAAGGGAAAGAACAGAAACCCCGCCCCCCCACGGCCATCGGCCCCTGGCAGGCGGCAGCCGGCAGTCTGCGGCAGGCACCCAGGCAGGCTGCCGCCACACAACGGCTTAACGGGTCGGTGGGTTATGCACGTCAGGTATTGGCTACCAAATTTATGGCCGGGATCTGCTTACCCAATGCCTTCTTCCTTCTCCTTGGAGGTGTGGTGCAATTGGCCTCCTTGTCTTCAAGGAGTTCAGCACTTCCGACACGCTTAGACGCTATGGCCTCGACTTCCCACTCCTCGATCGGCGCCAAGTCCATGTCATCCGTCTCCTCCCGCGCCACGACCGCCACTGCCGCCGCCGCCGCCGCCGCCTCCGCCATCGTCGTTGCCAGCCTCGTCGCCGCGCCGCCGCCCGACTTCTCCGCCGCGCTCACCGCCCTGCAGTCCGTCTTCGACATCGACCGATTTGACAGGTTCATAGCGCTGTTCGGCGTGTGGCCCAACAAGGAGATGGTCCTGGCCGGCGACTACGCCGGCTGGTGCATCACGACCCAGTGCCTCGACCAGGCCTTCCAGCTCTCGCGCTCGGAGCTGCGGCTCGGCAGCTTCTCCATCTCCGAGGCGTTCGTGGGCGACTTCTCGCCGATCCGCTACGCCTTCTCGCTCCTGGTCGCCGCCGTCCTGGGCAACTTCTTCATGTGGACCACGGGCATCATCGCGCGCCTCCTCTTCACCCACTTTGACGCGTCCAAGTGCAGTCTGCCGAGCCAGCTGCCGTGGCCCGACCCGCCCGGCCAGTCGCAGCCGTTCGACGTGCCGGTGATGGAGGCGAGCGAGGAGCAGGTTGCCCGCTTCCTGGCCTTCCGCGGCGTCGCACCTCCGGCGTCCGACGCGGCGCGGCGCGAGACGGCCGCGCGCGAGGCCATGGCGTACATGCAGGAGCTGTGGGATGCCAAGCACAGCGGCTGGTGCCACAAGCGCTACGCGCTCAACGAGAAGGGCCTCGCCTTCCCGTACCGCGCGCCCTTCATGAACGACTGGAACTTCGTCAACGAGCACTCGCCCAGCCTGGCCACCGTCGGCTTCGGGCAAGTCGTTTTTGCGCTCGAGCATTTCCTCGTCGGCACCGCGCTCCCGCTGCTCTACCTCTTCCGCCGCGACGACTCGATCTTTTACTTCGTCATGTACGCCGACATGGCGTGGGAGACGTACGACATGCTCGCGATGTTCTACCGGCGCCTGTCGCCGACGGGCGCCGACTACACCATCTCGCGCTACAACAAGGCGATCGACAACGTGATGGTGCCGCACCACATCTTTGGCGTCGGGTTCGAGATGATGGCGCTCATGGCGGGCCCGGGCATCTCCAAGGCCTTCATGGCGCAGGTGCTCATCACGAACCACTTCTCGGGCGGCATGATGCTCCTCGCGATGGCGGTCCACCAGACGCCCGCCATGTCGTGGCCAAAGGCGCTGCTCAACTTCCAGCGGCTCGTCCTCGGCTCCCTCTACGCCACCCGCATCGTCTGGTGGGGGCCGATGTCGGTGGCGTGCCTTCGCCTCACCTACATCTATACTGGCGACTTCCCGGACTACATTGCTAGCCTGGGCCTGCGCGGCCTGGGCTATGAGTACCCGCTCCTCTCGCCAATCTTCCTGGCTGTGTTTGTGCTGCTGGTCTTCTACACCCACTTCAATCTCGATCTCGTGCAGGTCAACAAGAAGCTGCTGCGCAAGGCCGAGGGACGTGCCGCCGCGGCAGCACGCGGCCGTGGGATGTAAGCAGCGTGGCGTGTCTGCTAGAGGCACGTGTGTGTTAGAGGCGTGTGCTTTGGCGTGCTGGATGCGCTCTCTCTCCACTCTCCTGTCGTCTTTTGTGTTTTGTCTATTGATATTATGACCCCCTCCGGCCTCGGAATTTGAAGCGGCGTGTCGCACACGTCCATGGCAGCCTTGCCGCATGTGATGACGCTGCGTTTGCTCCTGGCGTGAGGCACCGGAGAGAGTCTCGAGACGACGCGAGTCGTCCGCACGAGTCGTAGCTGGCTCGCATATTTGCTCGCTCGTCGCGGTAGTCGCCCAGCTACACTCGCAGACGAGCTACAAGAATTTAGTCTTAAAGAAAGAAAGAAAGAAAACGGACAACCAAGGGAGGGATGGGAGGACGGCACGCCGCCACCACACAGGGATTTTAAGGAGAGTGGTGTGGTGCGCTAGCCGTCGCCCACCCTTATGAGGTTCTTTTTCACGAGGGAGCTGGGTTGTAAAATTCTTTTTCAACCGATCCTTGAGGTGCCCCGAGGGCAACAATGGTCATCGCCAGGTCCTCACTCGGCGTCTCCTCCCTCGTCACGACCATCAAGGCTCAGAAGTCCCCGTCCGGTGCCTCCTGCCGCGCCACGAAAGACAACCACCAGCACTCGCTCAGCGTATCCTCCCACTTCACAACCGCCGTCGCCGCTGTCGCCGCCGCTGTCTTCGCCGCCCTTGCCAGCCTTGACCCTCTCGAATCCGACATTGCAATCTTCAACCGCATCATCGCCCTGACCGGCGTGTGGCCCAACAAGGAGATGGTCCTGGCCGGCGACTACGCCGGCTGGTGCATCACGACCCAGTGCCTCGACCAGGCCTTCCAGCTCTCGCGCTCGGAGCTGCGGCTCGGCAGCTTCTCCATCTCCGAGGCGTTCGTGGGCGACTTCTCGCCGATCCGCTACGCCTTCTCGCTCCTGGTCGCCGCCGTCCTGGGCAACTTCTTCATGTGGACCACGGGCATCATCGCGCGCCTCCTCTTCACCCACTTTGACGCGTCCAAGTGCAGTCTGCCGAGCCAGCTGCCGTGGCCCGACCCGCCCGGCCAGTCGCAGCCGTTCGACGTGCCGGTGATGGAGGCGAGCGAGGAGCAGGTTGCCCGCTTCCTGGCCTTCCGCGGCGTCGCACCTCCGGCGTCCGACGCGGCGCGGCGCGAGACGGCCGCGCGCGAGGCCATGGCGTACATGCAGGAGCTGTGGGATGCCAAGCACAGCGGCTGGTGCCACAAGCGCTACGCGCTCAACGAGAAGGGCCTCGCCTTCCCGTACCGCGCGCCCTTCATGAACGACTGGAACTTCGTCAACGAGCACTCGCCCAGCCTGGCCACCGTCGGCTTCGGGCAAGTCGTTTTTGCGCTCGAGCATTTCCTCGTCGGCACCGCGCTCCCGCTGCTCTACCTCTTCCGCCGCGACGACTCGATCTTTTACTTCGTCATGTACGCCGACATGGCGTGGGAGACGTACGACATGCTCGCGATGTTCTACCGGCGCCTGTCGCCGACGGGCGCCGACTACACCATCTCGCGCTACAACAAGGCGATCGACAACGTGATGGTGCCGCACCACATCTTTGGCGTCGGGTTCGAGATGATGGCGCTCATGGCGGGCCCGGGCATCTCCAAGGCCTTCATGGCGCAGGTGCTCATCACGAACCACTTCTCGGGCGGCATGATGCTCCTCGCGATGGCGGTCCACCAGACGCCCGCCATGTCGTGGCCAAAGGCGCTGCTCAACTTCCAGCGGCTCGTCCTCGGCTCCCTCTACGCCACCCGCATCGTCTGGTGGGGGCCGATGTCATATGCGTGCCTCCGTCTGGCGTACATTTACACGGGTGACTTCCCTGTCTACGTCACAAACCTCGGCCTGCGCGGCCTGGGATATGAGTACCCGCTCCTCTCGCCAATCTTCCTGGCTGTGTTTGTGCTGCTGGTCTTCTACACCCACTTCAATCTCGATCTCGTGCAGGTCAACAAGAAGCTGCTGCGCAAGGCCGAGGGACGTGCCGCCGCGGCAGCACGCGGCCGAGGAAAGTGAGCGAGAAGGAACCAACCGATTTGCGTGTGCGCTAGATGTGTGTGTGTGTGTGTGTGTGTGTGTGTGTGTGTGTGTGTGTGTGTGTGTGTCCCGTTGCGTTGTTGCCATGTCCATTTGTCAATGACGTTCATTTGCCTTTCATATCCTCAAGAGTCAAGTGGCTGACCTGTCGAGGGATCTGGAGCTTGTACGCGTGTCTCTCTCTCTGCTTGCAGGGCCTGAGAATGGGCTGCCATGTCACATGAACAACTGTGGTTGCAACCATCACTGTGGGATGGTGCGGGCGTGCGGACAGGATATCAAGCTCGAGGACCTCGAGAGAGGAGGTTTGTTTGAGGTGAGCCACCCCTTGGAGCACTCGGAGTACGGTCATCAACCTCACATCCAGGGCCGTTCGGCCCCGCCGCTGCGCGTGCTCATGGCTCGCCTTCTTTGGCTTCGCCGAGGGAGAGACGGCGCTCATGGCTCGCCCCTGTTCACGTTCCCGATGCTTACAAACATCGTCGGCCACCCAGATCTTCCGCTCAGCGTGATGGGGGTCAATCCACGCGAAGCACAGGTCGTCGAACAGTTCGATGGAAGAGCGGTCGATGGCCATCGGTACTTCACGCGACTAACGCCGCATATCGCGGTGAGTGACGCGCGCTTCGTCGACATCGGTGTCGAGTGCGATATCACGCTCGAGGTGTATCAGTCAGTAGATCTACACTGTACGTGACTCGCTAGTTGCATACGTCCTGCTTACGCCCTACTCCCAGTGCTTGATTTTGTCTACTGGCATTCAATAAATGAGAGAGAGAGCGATACCAAGCGCACAGGCACGCCGCAAAAACACCGCCAGGGGAGCCGACGAGCCCGCCTCGAGTCTAATAAACGAAAGTACAGAACAAGCACAACCGGGTGCGGATCGCGTGCGATGCGCCAGAGGCCCACCTGTGACGCGAAGGGTCCCAGGAGATAGGGGTTGCTGGGTGGGTGCGGAGAAGGGAGGGGATGGTGAGGGAGACACCACACCCCGCGTGAGGTGGAAAATGTCTCACACCCCCATGAGCGCGCGGTGGCGGGCCGCCTCGACGGCGTCCTTCTCGGCCTCTTTCATTGCGGTGCGGTACAAGCAGCACGTCGCGCAGCAAAAGAGCGGGAGCGCGATGATGATCGTGATGATTGTGAAGATGAGCGGGATGTCCGCGGGGTCATCTGTGCTGAGGCCGCCGATGCCCTGGCCCTGGGGGCTGATGAGCAACTCGGGCAGCGGGGGCGGAGAGGGCGGCGGGACTGGTGGCGGCAAAGTGGGTGGCGAAGAGGGCGGCTGCAGGATCTCGCAGCAGTGGTCGAAGCAGTGCGGCAGCACGTCCGCCGGGAGGCCGTTGGTGCGTTCCGGGTGCGCGACCCGCTGCGAGGCCGGAATCTCGCCGCACTCTGTGGGTGTCAGCCCGGGGCAATGCTCCATGTGCGGGCAAACGTGCTTGCCGTCACGACCCACCCAGCCGCAGTCGCAAGGCGTCGGGCAGCAATAGTGGTGGCATCGGTCCGTCTCTCCACCGAGCCAGCCCGTTTGCGGCCGGGTGTCCTGCGGGAGGCAGAGCGGCGAGTTGGGCGTGTGGTTTGCCGCGGTGTGATGATATTGGGTGGGGCACGACGGCATTGCGCGTGATGGCATTGCGAGGAAATTCGGGTGCAGACGCGGCTGTGCTGCACACACCGGGTGATCGCAAGGGTGGTCCTCCGTCCAGGAGCAGTCGCAGGTGTAGGAGGCATCCGCCGAGGCGACTGCGAGAGCGATGAAGACAGGGATGCGGACGGGGCGCGACGACCTCATTGCTTGTCGCCGATCAAGGCCGATCAAGGCTTGAAGGACCCGCCCGCCGGCGATGGTTCAAGGACCCCTTTACTTTAAAATCCTTTCTCCCCATTTTATTTCCGCTGGTGGTGCTGGTTTTGCGCAGCCTGATTGCGGGTTTTTTACTTTTTTCACGTGCTACAATCCTATTTTAGCGCCTTACCCCCCCCCCCGCCCCCGAAAGGAGCCAAGGCTCTCTTGGCCTCGGCGACGGCCGCTCTCCTCCTCCTCATCTCCTCGCTCACGGCCCTCGTTGCCGCCATGTCCGAGCGCACATCGATCCCGGACGCCAAGACCCTCCAGCGCCTTCGCTCCGACTACGGCCAGGCCCAGTCACGCGAGGCTCCCGTCAGCGTCGCGATGGCGCAGCAGCACAAAGAGCCGGGGTGCGTGAAGAAGACGCATCGCTACTTCTGCGGCTCTGTCAAGGCTACGAGCTACACCATGCTGGCGATGATTTCGTTTGCGGCGCTGTTCTGGGTCCCGATTATCTGGTACGTCATCGTGCCGGCCATCCTCAACATGCTCGCCGGCGCCACCTCTGTCAACATCAAATCGGCGACGATGGCGGATCCAACGGCAACCAATATGAAGGTTTCCGCGGTTGTCGAGATCAACAATGCGGGTGCGCCGCGCCCACAGCGCTGCCGCCGCCACTCCATTCCCGCTATCCCCTCGCCTCCAGACCTCTCGCTTCCCACCTTTCAGCCCGTCCTCCGCCGCCGCCGCAACAGGTCCCTTCGGGTGCGACATCGATGCCTTCAACGCCACCATCCACAGCCCGCCCGAGGATAGCGCGCCGAATGGCCGCCCGATCGGCTGGATGGTGGTCCCGCCATTCACCCTCAAGGGCAACGGGCCGGGCATCATCAACCCGACCACGATGGTGCACGTGACCGACGCCGCGGCGTTCAATAAGGCGCGACTCCCACCACCACACCTCGCCCGCACCCTGCGAGCGTCCGATGCCGCCGCCACACGCGCCGCCTCGCCCGCTCTCAGATGGCGAAAGGCATGCTCAACGGCGACGACGTGCCGTGGCGCATGACGAGCGAGATCACCGTCTGGTCGATGGGCATCCCCTTCTCGATCTCGATCGACAAGCAGACCGTCTTCCCTCCGATCGAGCTGACGAATTATGCGACGTCCAACCTCGAAATGTCGCACGGTAACACGACTACCAACCAGCTCGTGATTGACGCTGACGTGAGCTTCTACTCCTCCTCGCCGATGCGGCTCGAGGGCTTCGGGACCATCAAGGCGGAGCTCTACTACAGCGTGGCTGGCAACGACCCCGACCTCAGCCCCGAGGCTCGCTTGAGGCAAGGCGGCCCGCCGATTCGGGACGACCACGTCAAGATTGGCGAGTGCCATATGTACGACTACAGGGTGGAGCAGGGGATGAACACCATCCAGACAAAGATCTTCCTCGACGCAAACTACGCAACGGGACAGTCGCTCGGACGCTGGGCGTCCGAGTTCGACCAGACCATCGTCTCGTGGGGCCCGACCAATGTCTCGCCCTTCATTAATGGCATCTGGCTGGGCGCCAACGGCATGCCGGGCTCGACCATCACCCTGTACACCGCAACCTTTGTCACTGCGGAGACCCTCGGCGCGCGCCCGCATGCCCGCTTCTCCGCCCTTGCCTCCCCCACCAACACCCCCACCCACCCCGCCACCCCCCTCGCTTCCGCCCCCCGGCACTGCGCGATGACGCTCCCGCCCCGCCGTTCGCAGTCACCGGCTACAACCCCAAGACGGGCGAGCCGTGCAAAGTATGGGACGGGAGCACCGAGTCGTGCGATCGGGGTTCGACCATCATGGGCATGAACCCCTTTAAGCGCGAGTGGTTCATCAAGGACATCGTGTACGACACGTACTTTGAGGAGGAGTACGAATACGACGGCACCTTCATGGCCAAGCCCGTCCCAGGCCAGGAGGATGTCGAGGTGCCGTTCGCCGGGGGCACCACTGTCGGTAACCTCTTCAACATCCCGGCGGTCGACTTTACGTGCAGCGCTTCCAAGGTGCTCGGGCGCACCTTCTCCAAGCCGGGCATGTGGGCCGGCTACCCGAACCACTCTCCGGGGGTGGGCCTCTCCTACCCGCCCGACGACCCGAACACGACCGACGTCGACGAGAACCTCCAGGCGCGGCTGGCTGATGACGTCATACCGGTCCCGCCTGCGAAAGTTGCGGCGGACGGCACAAAGATCCCGACGAGTTATTCGTTGACCATGCCCGTGCACCCGATCCCGGGAATGACAGCGGTCCCGGGTGCACCCGATCCCCCGCCGCCGTGCATCTGGGGCCTGAAGGACCTCAACCCCTTTGACTGCTGCATGACCACGATCTTTACCGCGGCCGCGTGCAAGGCGGCGGAGTCGGGCAAGAAGCAGATCACGGTGAGGAGCTCGGGCTCGGCGGTGATGATTGTCGACGGAGTGGAGCTCAACATCAGCACCTCTATCCGGATGCCCGTCACATACACCAAGGACGTGCTGCAATTTGACGCCATTCCGCCCGCCAGCTACGGCGTGCTGGGCCATGTCGTGGATGCCGGCTTTGGCTGTGACGACCTCCGGTTCACCGGGGTCTCGGCGCGGTGAGAGAAGAGTTGATTATCCATGAATGCCAGCCCATGTACGTGATGCGGCGCGCGGGTGGGGCCTTCGGCGTCTTTTCGCGGCTGATGTGGTGCACTCCCGCGGAGGTGTCCTGAAACGGGGGTCGGGGCCGGGGGGAGCGGAGAGAGAGGGGTGTACGTTGTCTTGTGATATAAACGTGGCTGATACGTAGACTCAAGTCTGGTCCCTCTGTTTGTTTTGACCAGAGAGGCCCATCAAATCACAAGCCGCCTTGGCCCGCTGCTGCTCTCTCTCTCTCCATCTCCCCTCCGCTTCACTACTTTCCGTCCTAACACACACACACACACACACACACACACACACACACACACACACACACACACACACACACACACACACACACACACACACACACACACACCACTCACACGCACTCTGACAGCAGCAGCAAGGTTCCGGCCCCCGAGTACGCGACGCTCGCGGCCCTCACGCGTCTGTGTAGTTGATGATCGAGATGAGGACGGAGCCGGCCGCCGCGATGATTGGCAGGTTCATAGGCCCGTGGAATACAAAGTGGTCGAGGGTGGCCGTGGTGATGATGGCGGTGGAGAGGGCGAGGTTCTTGATGATGGAGTCGCAGTACTTGAGGACCAGCCTAACGGCCGAGGCGCGAGCAGGCGTGTGACTTCAGGAGAGGCACCCCACCCACCCCCTGGTCCTGAGAACAACTGGTCCCAACCGCGCGCGCAATCTCCCCGCGATCTCCCGCAATCTCCCCGCGATCTCGTGCTCACCCGATGAGGATCCCGCCGAGCGCGCCGAGACACGCGACCACCACCGTCACCCCCGACCAGCCATGCAGCATGTCGCCTACGTTGCAGGGAAGAGTGGTCGAAGGCGCTCCCCCCCCTGGCACGACAGCCGCGGGACATGCCGTCGCCCGGGTGAGCGTGCTGCGCCATCGGGACGTAGATGAGCAGAGAGTAGCCCGCCAGCTGGACGTTTCTCTCCCACAACGACAGCGCCGTCGACTTGAGCACCCTCTCAAAGTAGACGTTGCTCAGGCCAGAGAGCATCGCCTCGAGAGTGACAGCGCTCACGCCGACGACGTAGTCGTGCCACGCCCGCTCCGTCGGCCCGCCGCCCTCGCCCGCCACGGCCTCGCGCATGTCTGCTGCCTGCTGCATGTGCTCCGCAGTGGCGAGCGTCTCCCGCGGCGGCGGCGCGCACGCGGCTTGCGGCTGCGTCTGGTGGCAGATGATGAGCACCGAGAGGAAGAGGGTGAGGATCGCCCGCCACCGCGCGAGCGAGAGGAGCCTCTGCAGCAGCAGCCGCGAGAGGACGGCGGTGAAGAGGATTTTTGTCTGCGGGGTGGGCGGGGCTTGGGGACAGGGCGGGACAGGCGGACGGGCGTCGGTCATGCAAGGCGCGAGCGGGGAGGGGAGGGGGGTGGGCGGCAGCAGAGGCAATGGAGGAGCGGCAGGAGAGGTGCCTGGCCACGACGCTCGCGGGTTGGCATCGGTCTCGGAAGTGTCTCGGAAGCGTCTCGGAAGCGTCTCGGAAGTGTCTCGGAAGTGTCGCCTGCTGGATGAGCGTAAAGGACGAGGCAGAGATGCGCTCCAGCGCGACGAAGGAGAGGAGGTTCATACCAAGGAAGATGAGCGCGGGCACCTGCGGGGGCGGAGGCAACGGCCGGATCGGTGACGGCTCGCGACGGCGGCGGCGGCTTGGGCGGCGGAGGTGGCAGTGGCGGCAGTGGCGGCGGCGGCGGCGGTGCGGTGGCAGCGGGGGCGGAGAGCTGGCGTGTCGAGGTACCCCGCAACCTCCCGCCCCAGCTCCCCAGCCGGTGCGAGCGGCAGCGAGGCTGCTGGCGGGCCGGCGGGCTGAGGGCCGCGAGCGTGCAAGGGCGCGGCGCACCGCCATCTTTGCTGACGTGCGCACAAGCTTGAGGCTCGTCTCTGCAAACCAGCGCGGTCCACGCTTCGCGCTGTCGTGGAGGCGTGCCTCGCCTGGATCGTCCGGCGACTCACGGAGGATCATCAGCCACGAGAAGCACAGCTTGAGCACCTCGCCAACCGCGAGAATCGACTGCGCCGACGCCTCCTCGTGCAGCACACCCGACGAGTAGCGCCGCAGCAGCACGTATGAGCTGTTTTGGACAGAGAGGAGGCAGCAGACGCCGGCGTGGAAAGGCGAGAGATTCGGCATCCGCCCACTCAGCCCGCTCGAAAGGTGTTCTGCTTTGACTAGCAGACCCTCTTCCTCGGCGTCCTGGCTATCCCTGCTCGGCAGGACCACGGCCGGCGAGACTGAGCGCTCCTGCTCGTGAGCAGTGCCCTGCGAGCGGGTCTTTGCGAACATGCGGGTTCGAGCCCGCGAAGACAGCCACACACTCGAGTGAGCAGGGAAGAGTTTGTTCGAAAAAAAAATCGCGGTGTTGACACCAGCTCGCGACCTGAGGGATCCCTGTGTGGTGGCGACGTGCCGTCCTCCCTTCCCTCCCTTTTCTCTGTTTTCTTTCTTTCTTCGTGACCTGAGGGAGAGTGTCTTTGGCTCACGCCAGGGCGCTCGTTGCTCCTCCGTCTCTTTGTATCTTCCATACTGCGTTTATCAGAAGACGAGAGTGTAGAGGATGAGGCTTAGGGGACCCCCAGGGTTCTGAGGGCCGGATTTCCGTGCGCCTCCGCACTCCTCTCGGCGTTCGCCTCTCGCCCTGCTGCAGCATCCGTGCCCATCTCTGGCAGCCGATCGCCGAGCGCCTCCTCAAAGCATGCGAGAATCTCGTCGCTCAGAAGGCCAGACTTGAGCACGTCGTCGGCAGCGCGGATGCTCGCCCGCACGGCCCGCCGTCGGTCGAGGTCTCGTCTTAGTTCTGGCAGCGTCGGCGCCGGCCTGCTCCCACGCTGGCCACACATCATGCTGCGCTTCGCGAGCAATCGCGTAACGAGGCTCGCTGGCTTTTTTGTGGCTTTTTGGACGGCTTTTTTGGATTCTCCCGCCCTCCAGCCTCCTACCCCTCTGTTGGATTTTTTAAAGACCTTTTAAGAAACGAGGAGATTTGGGGGCTTAAGTTGCCGTTTAAGAGATTGCAGGCACGGGGGGTCCCTCTTTTAAGACCGTTCAAGGAAATCGGCCTCGCCGGCATGCGTCGCTGGGTTCCGCGCCGTTTTCTCCAACACTGCCGTTATTAGGCACACACACAAACCCGCCAAGACACATCTGTAAGTCTGGTGCACTGGCAGGAGCCATACTCGCATATAGGGGACGCGTGCTAGCTGACTGCAGCCAGCTTCCCGGCCTCCGGCGTCTACCGGGAGCCTCTCCGGGAGCCTCCCGGACCATCGACCTCGGGAACTCTCCCGCACCGTTTAAGCGTTTAAGACCGTTTAAGGAATTGGCGGCCCAGCAGCTCTTAAAACTTGCCCGGGCAAGTTTAAGCCGTTTACCGCAGGCGCCCCAGGGCCCACCCTTTTAAGCCTAGGGGTCCCCTAATGGATGAGGAGTGTAGAATCCCGCGCGCGTCCACCGCCTGCAAAAGATCTGCACGTCTCGCGCGCGCGTGAACAGGGATCCAGGCCCCAAATGATGTGTGAGTGTTAGAGTTGTTTGGTATTGCTAAAAATATCTCTCAAGGCAGGCTGGTCATGACGCAGTCCTCAGGGTGCTTCTTCCGTCAGAGTGACTCTCTGTGTGTCAGGGATAATCAGGGCCATTCATCAGAGCTCCAGTAAGCTCGGACGTCGGAGACATCCCATTAGCCATTAGTGCGGCTCGACCTCTTTGAGGCACTGCCTTCCCGGGCGGCGGTTTGGCGCTCTACAGGAGTAGAGCCCCTCTACAACAAACTCTACAGCAATATCGCGCTCTACATCGACTCTACAACGCAGGCGGTTCGTCCCGCGCTGGATGTAGATCTGTACAGCTCTAGCGCTCCAGAGCGCTCTACAGCTCTACTACAGCTCTACAGCGCTCTAACACTCTAATACATCCTTCTGCACGCCCTCCCTCAGGGTCAGGCTCTCAGCTCGGCCTCTCGCGCGGGCCTCCGCAGTCGGCTGCTGCGAGACCTGCGTGCTGGCTGCTGCTGCGTGCTGGATCGCGACAACGATGGTCGTCGCGCCGCGAGGCCAAAAGTTACGAGGCAGCGGCATCGGCTGCAGGGGGCGTGCGCGGAAGTACCCTCTATCTCAGGGTCAGCTTGATGTCATATTTAATTATATAATAATATTTTATCTCTCTAGACGTTAATTTCCGGGGAGAGGAGGCTACCTCGATAGTACCGCACTCCAAGTAATCCCCAGGGTTGGCGCTTACAGGCCCACCTTGACACGTACAACGGGCGAGCGCGACTCCTGCGCCTCGGGTGCGCCCGCCGCGTCCCCACCCTCCAAGCCCAAGCCGGCCATTCCGTTGCCCAACAGCTCCAAGTCGCTGGCGCTGGACACGGGCGAGCCCATGGGCGACGCGGAGGGCGAGGGCAGCGGCGTCGGCCCGAGGGGTGTGCACCCGGACGACGACTCGGCCGATGAACTCTGAGACGAGCCGCCTCTGTTGGACGGACGGAAGAGCCGCCCGAGCGTCAGGCTCTTTGGCTTTCGTGGTGGCGCGCTCGCTGCCCACGGCGGCTGCCCCAGCCACACGGCGACGCAAGTGATGTCGTCGCGCAAGCCGCGCGTCTTGAGCGCCTTGGTCGTCACCCGCTCGGCCGCGTCCGTGGCCGTGGCGCACTCGCGCACCAGCGCGGCGACCTAGGGAAAGGCGAAAAGGGCAGGGTAAACTCCTGCATTCGTGTACCAAGGCCCAGGCGCGCGCGGGTGAGCAGTGGCAGCCTGAGCGTGCGAGAGCGCATCCCAGACCCCGTCCGAGCAGGCGACCACGGCGGCGGAGGAGGGGCTGCAGGCGACCTACAGCGGGGAAACAACACCGAGACCGCTCACCGAAGCGGCCCACCACGCAGGAGGCGGGCAAGTGCAAGCCAGGCGCCGTCTGCAGAGCGGGCACCGCAGATACGTATGGGCAGTCGGCATCGCCGATCGTCCGGGTGACCGCCAGGCCGCCCGGCCACGCTCGGAGGGGCCCGCCTGCGACGCCGCCGTCCCGCTTGACCCTGCCGATCCGCGCGCCAGCCGCTCTGACGC